CTCGGGCGCCGATGTCGGCCATCAGCAGACTACTCCAGACTTCGTAATAAAGGGAGGGGGGTCTCATTTCGGGGGGGGTCTCTTCCAGGCTATCTTGGAGGGCCTGGGGGGCCTGGGGACGATGTTTTGGAGGGTTCTCCCACGGGGGGGGGGTCTGAAATGGCTTGTCTTGGAGGGTCCAGACCCCCTCCCTTTTATTACGAAATCTGGAGTACACATCCCAGACGCAACAACATCGGGGACAGGGTCTGAGGCCTCAGGGCGTCAGGGGCCGACGCGGAGGTCTGGGGAGATCTCCAAGAGGAGGACGGGGGGTGAAAACAGATACCGACGCCGCCAATCCCCAGGCCTATCCAGGGGTGCGCTCTGACCAGGATTCCGAGGCGAATGCAGCGGCGGCGACGGGGCCCTCGCAGCAGGCCCAGCAGACAGGGGAACGAAGAGAGGGTGGCTCTCGGCAACCGTTTCCTCCCCTGAGTCTGGGCCTCCAGTCGTGACTTCTCACGATGTTGCTCCGCTTCCTCCTCTGAGTCTCGGGGGCGCGCCAAAGATGGATCAGCGATCCATGGATCCGGCGCGCGGTCGCCGAATCCATGGGTCGGCGGAGGTGCCCTCCCCGGAATGCGGCCGGTGCCGCCTCGCTCGGCGGCGGAAATCCACGAGTTCCCACGGACACGGGGCCCGTCGCTGATCCGCGCCCCCCTCGGTCCATGTCTGCGATCGCCCGAGAGTCTGGGCATCCGGTCGTGAGGCTTCACGCTGCTGCCTCTCGGTCTGCAGCGGCGCCCGCTGTGTGGGGGTGGCGCGAGGGGGGGGGCGGCCGTCTGAGAGGGGGAGAGGGAAGGGGGGGGGGGGGGCTCTGTTGGAGGGCGGAAAAATCCACCCCGACAAGAACCACCCCGACACGCGAAGCCGTTTAGGAAACGCGGCCAAAAAGAATCGAGCAGGGCAGGGCCGTTTAGTAAACGCCCAGGGCCGTGTAGCAAACGTCAGATGTCCGGTCTGGGTGGTTTTTCCTCCCTTGACTTGTGGAGGCTGGGGGGCCTCTTTGAAGGGGCCCCAGGACACACAAATAAATACACACAAATAAAAAGATTCCCCATATTTTCCCATATGTTCTAGGTTTCTGTCTTCCCCCCACTTTCCATATTTTGCTATATTTTCCTGGGAATCGACGATTAATTGTGTCTGTGTGTTTTCTCCTCTCCTGACTCTTCTTAGAGGGCCTCGGACGCGGCCCCGGCACCTCTTCTCCTCCCCCGAGGCTCCGAGGAGGGCGAGGGGTCTCCGAGGAGGAGGAGGAGGAGGAGGAGGAGGAGGAGGAGGATGGGCGCTCGAGAGAGAGGAGGAGGGGGGGTTCTCGAGGGAGAGGAGGAGGAGGAGGCTCCGAGGAGGAGGAGGAGGAGGAGGAGGAGGAGGAGGAGGGGCTCCCGAGAAAGAGGGGGCTCCGAGGAGGAGGGCGAAGGGGGAGGGAGGAGCACCCCAGTGCTCTGGCCCCGGACTGTAAAATTCTGTCGTACTCCCCAGACTATCTTTTAACTATTTTTGACTATGTTTGGGGTATTTCTTATTTTTCGTCGAAAATCCCCCTGTAGGGGGACACGCCCGACTTCACTGTAAAACGCGCGGGCGGCTCTCGTGTGCCCCTCGCCCGGTCTGGCGGCGGGGGGCGACCCCGAGGGCCGCGCCCGAGATGCGGGGCTCGGTGAGATCCAGGCGCGGACCTTCCTGCATCTGTCAAGCTCGGATCGGCAAGGGCTCCTGGGTCAGGGCTTCGCGCGCTGCGCGGAGCGCGAAGAACTTCGCCCCCTCACGCCGCCCCGCGGGGGAGAAGAGGAGGATGAGGCATCGGAACCGAACCGCGAAGCGCGGAACGCGGCGAACAACTTCGCGCCCTCGAGGGCGCCCTTGGCTTCCTGGGCGGGGTTGGCTGCAAGCTCCCCCGCGGGCGATGTCTGTGGGCGTGCAGGGAGTCGATGTGAGCTCACTCCTGAGTCTGTTACCCCCCCCTGACGCCACCCCTGGGAAGATCGGAGGAGAGCCACTGGAAGGGGCCCAGGGCCACTCTACCCATCGGTCGGAAGAAGAAGGTAGCAACACGGGGTAGAGAGGCTCTGAAAGCAGACTGGAGCCTGGGAGTGCACAAATGCCTTCGTTCCACGGCCGATGGGTAAGTGGCCAAGGGGGCGATCACTTCGCGCTCTCGAGGGCGCCCTTGGTCGGGGAGCTCCTCGAGGGCCCGCCGCGCGAAGCGCGAGGATCCCTGTCGACGCCCCGCGGGAGGGGGCGCCGCGGCCGCGCGGAGCGCGAGCACCCCCGTCGACGCCCCGCGGGAGGGGCGCCGCGGCGGCCGACGGCCAGCGACGTGCTGGCCATCGCTCGGACGTCCATCCCCTGTGCTTTTTTCGGCTTCGCGCGTGGCTTTTTCGCCAAAAAGGATCGAGGATGCTCCGCGATGGTCCTCGCCGAAAGAAACATGCACACGTCCGAGCGATGCCAAGCGTGCCGCGGAAGGCGCCCTGGGCCACCCGCGAGCCTCGCGGGCGGGGGGCGACCCCGACGCGGGCGGGGGCGCCGCAGCACGAGCCTCCCGAGAGCTGGCGTGGGACCCGCGGGCGCCGTGGCCGCGGGGCCCGCCCCACGATCTGCGGGCAGAGGGGCCGGGAAGAGGGAGCCCAGAGCCCTCGACCCTCCTCCTCCTCCTCCTCCTCCTCCTCCTCCTCCTCCTCCTCCTCGTCCTCCTCGTCCTCCTCCTCCTCCTCCTCCCCCTCCTCCTCCTCCTCCTCCTCCTCCTCCTCCTCCTCGGCAGCAGCAGCATCCTCACCCTCACCCTCACCCTCGTCCTCGTCCTCATCATCCCCATGATCATCTTCATGCCACCGCATCCTCCCCCTCCTTCTCCTCCTCGTTCTCCTCTTCCTCCTCCTCCTCCTCCTCGCACCCCGAGGCCTGTCTTTAGAGCGGGCCGGGCGTTTCGCCTGAGACTTCCTCACCATTTGCGGCCCTGAAACTTACAATTTGGCAACAGGTTCACAGATGGCGGGCGGGTCGTTTTCAAAAAGGTGGCTCTCGCCCCAGCGCCGCGCACATTCCTTTAAAACACTTGCTACAGTTTCACAGGGAAATGGCGGGCCGCTTTCAAAATGTGGCTCTCGCCTCAGCGCCGCACACATTCGTTTTACATTCGTTTTAAAAATTTACAAGAGCTTCACGGATTGAGGGCGATTCATTTTCAAAATGTAGCTCTCGCCTTAGCGCCGCGCGAATTCGTTTTAAGCATTTGCAAGAATTTCACGAACTGAGGGCGGTTCCTTTCAAAATGTGCCTCTCGACTTCGCGCCACACACATTCATTGAACAAAGCCAAAAAAAAATCGGATTCCCACGGTCAACGTACCAGCAATGGTGCTTTGGAGAGATAATGGATTAGGAGGATGCAACATTTACGTTGATTCGCAGTATTGAAGTCCCAGGAATGGCGTTCTGACACGATTCAGGACCGTCAAGACGCAACAGTCAGGTTGATATGTGGCGTTGGAGTCCCGAGGATAATGTTTTGCTATGCTTTAGGGTCTTCAATCAGTTGTCTTCCAACGAGGCAGTTCCCTCAGTGAAAATGTAATGCTGTAGGGGCCTATGAAGAGGGAGCTTGGAGGGAGGGTTAATCCTCCTCCTCCTCCTCCTCCTCCTCCTCCTCCTCCTCATCATCATCATCATCATCATCATCATCATCATCATCAGCATCCAAGGGCATCATCATCAACAACCTCATCATCAGCATAATCATCAGCATCAGCATCAGCACCAGCATCATCGTCATCATCAGCATCAGCGTCAGCATCATCATCATCATCATCATCATCATCATCATCAGAATCAGCATCATCATCAGCATCATCATCACCATCACCATCATCACCTCAATCATCATCATTGGCAGCAGCAGCGGCATCAGCAGCATCAGCATCAGCATGCATATCAGCATCAGCAGCAGCATCATTATCAGCATTACCACCACCACCACCACCACCACCACAACCGCATCATCATCATCATCAGCATCATCATCGTCGTCATCATCAGCACATTAGCATCAGCATCATCATAAGATTCATCTTCATCTTAAGCATCATCATCAGCAGCAGCATCAGCAGCAGCATCAGCATCATCATGAACAGCATCATCATCATCGTCATCGTCATCGTCATCGTCACCGTCATCGTCATCGTCATCATCATCGTCAGCATCGTCATCGCCATCATCATTATCATCAGCAGCAGCAACATCATCGGCATCATCATCATTGACAATACCCCATCCTCCTCCTCAGCCTCCTCCTCCTTCTCCTCCTCCTTCTCCTCCTCTTCCTCCTCACTGCACGGCCCCCTCCTCCTCCGCTCCGTTTCTTATGAATAACTCCTCCTGGTCGCACCCCAAGGCCAGTCGGAAGGGCTGGCCAGGATTTTGGCCTGAGATTTCCTTTACATGTATGAGCCTCAAGATAGAAAAACTAGCAGCAGGTTCAGAGATGGAGGGCGGCTCGCTTTCAAAATGTGACCCTCCCCCTAGCGCCGCGAACATTCATTTCAAACATTTGAAAGCATTTCACAAATTGGGGACAAGTGGATTTCAAAATGTGGCTCTCGCCTCAGCGCAGCGCACATTCGTTCTAAAACTTCGCAAGAGTTTCACGCAATAAGGGCGACTCGTTCTCAGAATGTGGCTCACGCTTTAGTGCCGCGCACACTCGTTCTGAGTGGTTGCAATGTTCACGGATTCAGGGCGGTTCGTTCTCAAAGTGTGCCTCTCGCCTTAGCGCCGCGCACACTCGTTTCAACCATTTGCAGGAGCTTCACGGATTCAGGGCGGTTCGTTTTCAAAATGTGGCTCTCGCCTCATCGCGGCGCACATTCGTTTTTACTACTGCATTGCAAGAATGTCATTGCTTCTCATGGCTCACGTACCAGGAACGGCGTTTCGGAACGACTCATAAGTCTCAGA